GGAGGAAGCTGTGGAATCCCTTTCAGAGCTCTTGAACACACTGGCAAGCAAACCCACTGTCCTCTGGAAAGGGGAGGATTGTGGTTTTCCCAGTTCAAAGATGATCACTTTTCTCTGACTACTATTAGATCATGCTTTCTAGAGGCAGATCCTTGCAGCTCATGATTGCACTTCTGAACAAGCAGGGATGTTGCTTTTGGAAAAACTAACCAATTACTGGCATTTTGAGAAAGAAGCTCAGAGGTAGGTAGATCTTAACTTTCCTCTAACCTCAGCCCTCATTTCAAATTTTGTCCTGTCACCACACAATAGTCTCAGCATGATTCTCAAGAACAAGAAACACAGTAAAGAGCAGTCAGAACAAGACTGTTGCCCTATCTGCCTTCATCCTTGGTTCTCAAAAGGTTTTGTTAGATGGAAAGTTAACCCGTTGTATTCTTCAGATTATGTATCTTTATCATTTCACATGTGTTTTGTGATTTGTAGAAAGAAATATATGTGAGACTCTTTATTAAAATATTGGCAGACTTATTGCCTTACAGTTTGGCATTTCATATTGCTTTTGAAGTATTTTTCAAGATATAGTATATGTTTGAAAGTTTCGAAAATAGTACCAGATTATAAAACCTCGGTTTTCTTTAGAAGTTTAGTTGGAGACGAAAATAATCCAAAACATTAACTGTTTTTAGATTGCAGTTATAAATTCTACTTAAATTGATATATTAAACCAATATAAAACAGTAACAAAAGTTCACTTCTTAATTATTTATCTTCCCAGGAAATCAAATGTAAATTCATATTTTTCCAGTGCAGAGTGGCTTTTATTTTTTTCAGATCTTAGTAAAACCTGCATTTTCAAAGCTCCTGATTTAAAATCCTAACTAATAATGACATAAAATTGGTCTATTTATGGCTACAAAAAGCAAGCCTTGTTCTCATTATGTAGTAAGTACTAGCTGTTTATAGATCTGACAGTTTGTTGGAAGTGATCCAAACCTATAGTGCTATTATTCTCTAGTAAAATTTAAACAGCTGTAGTCATGTAATTCAAAACCCTGGAAGTCTGCTGCAGGGCTTGTTCTGCTTCAGTATACCATGAATGCAGGATGCAGCCAGTCATATAAAGGATACTCTTCTCCACAGAATGAAAGAAAGACGTGATCTACAAACCTGAATGCAACCTGAAAGGTCCAAATAGATGAGCTTGTGACAGCCTTTTCCAGTGCCCAGGTACAGTAAACCTTTGTCTGTGAATTTTCTGCAGTGAGCTAAACTCAGATGCTGTAAATTGAGGAAGCTGCTTTGCAAACAAAAAACCCAAACAAACAGCAAATTATTACAGGGGTATGTTACACAGATGAATATAAAATACTTAAAGTATTCTGAAAATTACTGTAAAGATGTTTGATATGACATAGGATTTCATTGAAAAAATGCTGAAGTTTGAAAGTCTCTTTCTTCTGGTGCACTTTTCCCTCTGCTGTGTTGCAAATTACTGGGGAATAGTACTATCATACAACATATTTCACCATATGAAAACAGTATCATTTTAAAGTTATATCAAATAACTGCAAAAGCATACTTTTTTAATTAACTGAGATTTTTGTGTGCATACTTTGAAAGTAATAGACTTTTCAGTGTAAGTTTGCTGGACTGTCTTTGCCATTGATTTTGCAAGCAGTGCCTGCTGGAAATGAAAACCAGAACTCTATCAAAAGACACTAAAAGCATAAATGTACGGTTACAGCTTCTCTGGTCATATAATTATTTAGAAGAGTACTATTAAAAGAACACAAGGAATTGAAAGAGATACAAAAGGGAATTATCCAAAAGTAAATCATCCAATGTTGGGCTTTAACCAGTTCTTTTGGAAAACATTTCTTTGTACTAAATGCTAGTTAAAAGAAAGTAAACTGTATAAGTGGAAAATGTTAACAGCTCTCTGCAAAAGCATAAATCTATAGTCTGAATATACTTAAGATTCCAGCTGCAGCTTTGGTTTATAATATACTGAAAACTATTCATTTTCATGAACTACATTTCTAACTGGAGTAAGTAACAATTGCCACGAGCACCACAAATAAAAGCATACAGAAAATCAAAACCTAGAATTAGGACCTACTGCTCTGGTAGACATTTAGTTGTAGGGATATAGTCATGCAGTTCTGCAAGTCAGCAAAAGAAGGCATTTTGAAGAAAGATGGGAACACCCACTGGGGAGCTGACTGCTTAAGGAGTGGCATTCATTTTTGGAACTCAGTTTATACTTTCAGTATAGAGTAGGGAAACATGCTAACTTGAACTGAGAACAAAAGAAAGAAGTAAAATGAACATGCGTCAGAACCAGATATTAGAATATAAAGGAATGTGTTTGTGATATGGGATTTTTTTGATGGAAACATTTAATTCGTATTAAATACAGGAATAAAAGTATTCTTCTTTGAGAATCATAAGCCTTTTTACATGTTAGTGACATAGTCCACAGAAATGAGTGGAACTCAGAGAGAGTACCCTTCCAGAATTATCTGATAAAATAAACAATAAGTAAAGAGACTGGTTTATATACTCTGGTAGCTCTGAGTCTTTTTGAAGTGTATGTTGCTAAAAGGTTGCAAAACTTAAAACACAGAGAAGCCTTTCTTACTGCATTTTGAAGACTGTGATAAAATCCCTGTTTTGTGTTACAATTAAATTCTGCAGGAATTCTGTCATAATGTTTTTTTCAATTAATTTTGGCATTAGCAATCTCAGGATCACTGTTTTAAAGCAATCCGACAAAATTCCCTTCTGATTTTTACTCCTGATTGATAGACAATATTCATGTCTACCATATGCAAGAGAACTCTTCAGAGGGAAATTGTTGCTGATGATCTGTGTTGTGTAATACAGAGGTTAAAACGGTTGTATGGAACAGTAGGAGAGAATCAAAAATGAGCAGTTTTGAGCACACTCAGCCTACACTTCCTTGTTCCTTGTTCCTTGTTCCAGTAACAGACATCTGATATACAACAGCAATTATGAAATGCAATACTGCCACCTTTAAGAACTTTGTATTAGTAACTTCATTACCCAGGACTCATGGTGAGCTAATGCTTTTGAGATGGCATATGAAATGTTCATGAAATTTGTTTTCTATCAACATCTTCACAGGACATCAACTTTTAGTACACACCCATAATCTCGGAAACAATAAGCTTTGCTTTTTGTCCAAAAACTGTCAATAAAAACAGTGGCATCTAAATCAGAAGCATCACATGTGACTGGGAAAATTTTATTAGGGAGGCACAAGTGAACTGCAACATATATTTTTTCAGTGGAGAATTTTTCTTTTAGTTTTAAAAATTTCATTGCATTGAAAGCTTCACCTACCCTGGAGAATTCTTTTCTTGGGTACAAGCTATTTACACATCAACAGAAATGAATGGGTCTGACTTACGGTGGCAACAGCCTGTTCAAGTAACATAGGCTGAGATTACTTACAGAACAGCTGCTCCAAACTTCAATATAAATATATGGAAATTTTAAAAGACAAAATATCAGCCAACATGGAGAAAACACAGATTATGATAAGAATAATAGTGATGAAGAAATGTGTGGCAAGACTGGAGGCACTAAATGGAAAACTTTGGCAAAACAAATGTTAGGTATCTATCTGAGAATATGGCGTTCTGGCTTAAGCCAAAATATATCATGCAGATGGCAAAGAAAAATATTTTTCTGGACTTTGTGGGTCTGCTGTTGAAAGGAAGACATCAGTTTTCCTCACAGTAAGAGAAAAAATGTACAGCTGTCTTCAGATCTATGTACATCTTTGTGATGGCTGCTACCATGGACCAGCACACCTCTTTTCCTTCATGGCAGCTTTTAATGCAGCAATTCTACCTACCAGGCAGACTTCAAGATTCATGGAGGGATACATCTAAAATAGGAATGGCAGAACTGTGTAAAGAACTGTAAATTCTCCACCTTCAGCTCACTGATCTTCCAAATAAGTTTGGACTAACTCTTTCTTTTGCAGTTGTCACACAACACACTGGCTCACACAATACACGTATCCATAACCCTCTCTTGCAAAAGTAAATTTTTAAGAACACACCTAACTTGCAAACTTCTTGCATCACCGTAAGAACTGGACATGCCCAGAAAACTCTGGCTAGCACATTCTTTCAAAAGCATCTGTAAATGTCTGTGAAATACACAGGGTAATCTAGTGTGTATTTTTAAATATACCAAAAAAAGAACTGCTACCTAAGTCAAATGAGTGGGACATTTTTTTCATTTTGAATATCAGACAAATCCCATAAATCACTTAAAAAGAGTATTTCTACTACATATGCTTCTAAGTTTCCTGCAAGATTGCAACAAACACTTCTGTATTTCTGTTCACTTTTACCTTGGCAATAGTCGTAGTGTTCCATTAGTAATATCTGTATATGACAGATTTAAATAGAGAAGAGATCTGCAACCTTCTGATATGACTCTCATCGACTCATCCTGAATAATAATAGAAAAAAAATAGTCTATAATTACATTAAAATCATATTTGTATTGTTATCTTACATTTTTATGCTGAGTAACAAGGGAGAAAAACATGAGTATCTATCTTTAAATCATCATAATAGTTTTATGATGATTTATGATGATTGTATCAGCCATTTTCTGCAAAGCTTCAAAGTAGAATACTGAGAGACACATGATGTTACTGTTATTGAAGTATGGTAATTTTAGCATCGCAATTCAAGGAAACATTATACACTACACAGTCCTACAGAGCACAGAGGACTTTTCACATGATTGAAGGTTAGCCTATGTTTACATATTTTGCTAAGACAAGATTCTTGTGACCTGATCCTGGTACCTAAAACCACTGGTGAATTTTCTCTATGAACTCTGATACACTTCTCTGACCAGTAATATCTTTTACTAAATGCTTTCTGTTTAGTTCTACCCTCCAGGCGGAATACTAGACTTGATTAATTATAAGGTTTCCATGTTTTATTGACCTGCAAAACCGGTACTGCCTATATTGTACTGGTACTACCTATATTCTGTGTATCATTCCATTAGAATATAATGGGAACAAAGTATGAAGAATGTTTCACAATAAAAGTCAACATAATAGAAAGGCAAAAGGTCAGCACTTATACATGGAAATGTTATAGTTGAGTGTGTATCTCCTGCCGTGTTGTGGTCACCTTTCTACTAAAGGATCACCAAGATAGCTGGAAATTCAGTACCAATCAACTTCAAAGAAGATAGTTTGTGCTTTTGAAACATATTTCTAAAACAAAGGATTTGAGAGAGGTGACACCAGTAAAAATAGATATGTTGATGGAAGATAACCATAACTTGAAGAGAACTGAAGTCATAAGAGAATGGTGAGAAAGCATTTAGTGGATGGCACAATGGGAAAAACTCTCAATTCCACGTGAAAGCAGCACAACCAGGGGTCCATCTGAAGTGTCTGAACACAGACACTTGTAGTATGGGTATCAACCAGTAGGGATGCACAGGTGCAGAGCTATGCTTTTATTGGGATTCCAGAGATGCAAAGGTGAAGTACACACAGCTGGAGGGCTGCAATGATTGTTACGGAATATTTAGGAATGACAGCCCAGGAAGTGAGGACAGGTTGCACTCTGTGCCATGGAGCTTTGCATTGGAATGGGTGACAAGTCAGTTGAGAGCTTGTTTGTAATGATTAGAGGTTAGACCCATAGGAGTCTACTAGTATCTACTACAGACTGTTTGACCAAGAAAAGAAAGTAGATGAAACCTTCTTTGAGCAGCTGAAGGAAGCCTTACAACTTGCCTATCCTGGCTATTCATGAGAGACTTTAACTACTCATTATCTGCTGGAAGAACAATATTGTTAGGCACAATCTGGAAGACTTTTAGAGTATGTTGAAGACAATTTCTTGATCCAGGTGACCGACGAGTGGTCTGTGGAACACGTTCTTCTGGACTTATTTCACAAGAAGGAAAGGATGTGAAGAAGAATGGTTTTGGTTACTGCAGCCATGAAAATGAGGACTTTAAAATCCTGAGAGAAGAAAATTGGACAAATTGTAGAACAAGAAGCAGATTTTGGCTTATTTAGGGATCTGCTTAACAGGACCTCATGGTAGACAGCCCTGGAGGACAAAAGGGCCCAGGAGAGCTTGTTGGTCTTCAAGAGCAAGGTACCAAATGACTTTTTTTGCCTTGGTTTTTCTTGCTAAGGCTTGTCTTAAGGCTTCCCAGGTGCCCCACTGGAGCCTACTAGCAGTGTCTGTGGAAGTGAAGCAATTCCTATGATAGAAGAAGGTAATGTCAGGGAGCACTTGAGGAGAATTGATGAGACAGGATGCATTCAAGAGTACTAAGCTGGCTCCTGTCGCTGAGAGGCCTTGCTCATTTCTGAAAGGTCATGATAAACAGAGGAGATTCCTGACGACTGGAAGGTAGGAAACGTCACACCAATTTACAGGAAATGGAAGGAGGAGGATCCAGGAAACTACAGGCCAGTCAGCCTCACCTAAGTCCCTAGGAAGATTATGTACCAAATTCTCCTTGAAGCCCTGTCCAAACACATGAAGGATGAAAAAGTAATAGTGAACAGCCCACATGGATTTATCATGGGCAAAGCATTCCTCACTAAGGTGATAGTTTTCTATGATGAAATTACTGGATCTATGAAGAGAAAAGCAGTTGTTTTGAATTCAGCAAGGCCTTCAGCACAGGCCATAGTATCTTTCATAGCCAAACTGGTAAAATAAAGGCTGGATAACTGGACTTCAAGGTGAGTGAAATTTGTCCAGACTGCCAGGCCAAAGGTTGTTACCAATGGTGCTAAGTCCCATTGGTGGCTTGTGGCAACTGGCATCCCTCAAGGGTCAGAATGGGGGTCAGTGATATTAAATGTCTTTATCAATGGCTTAGATGATAGGAAAAGAGTATATTGTCAGCAAATTCACAGATTATTCCAAACTGGGGAGAATGCCAATACACTGGAGATTAGAACTGCTGTTCAGAGAGATTCAGTCTGTAAAAATGGGCTGATGGAAACCTCATGAAGTTTAACAAAGGCAAATGCAAAGTCCTGCATCTGGGATAAAATAACCCCATGCATCAGTAGTCTAGGCACTGGTCAGAAAGCAGCTATCAAACACACTAGCAATTTCAATGTGTGTCAACAGTGTGTCCTTTCAAGAAAGGTGACCAGCTGCATACTAGGCTGTATTGGCAAGAGTGTAATCATCAAGTCCCTACTATCCCACGAACCAGGCCCTGGCATCACCTAGGAATGTGCTTGCTGATACATACCAAATGTGTATTAGTATGCATGTTAAAAACCAAACAGAGTGGAGTTATGAGTCTGAGTCTTTACAAAGCCCTGGCCCACTTCAGCTTATTGCCTTCATGCAGGAACCTTGGATCAACAGAATCAAGGATCAAAACAATCCTTGAGAAGCATACAACCTCTAAATATTACACTGCAATTATAACATTATATAGCAGAGTCAAACATCGTTTTTCCATCAGAGAAGAGCAATTGAAAAACATGAAAGAGAATTAATGGAAGCACAATAAAACTGAAAATGTTAAAGGAAAAAGAATGGACAAATTATAGTGGTGATTGCATACTTAGACACCTTTCCAATAAAGGCTCTCACAAATATCTAAAAATATAACGAGAGATTTTTAGGGCCTATGTGTATTACTGAATGAAGGAAAAAAGGAACCTGGAAACAATATAGGATTGAAATGTACAGTTGTTGACAACTCCAAGCTTAAAACAACAAAAAATCCCTACCCCAGCCTGGTGAAGTTTTGGAGTATGTTTATTAGAATTAATTGAGATTGAATATATCATTTTGCACTTGCATTGTAGAAAACAAATAAGAACTTCACCGAGTATCTCTGAATCCTACTGAATTCCGTTTTCAAAGTACCTGAGAGCACAAGTCTCTACTTTCTATTGGGGACATTTATGTAGCCAGATAAACACAGCACATTACAAATCTTTCTCATTAGAAATTAGAGTTCATGGGAAAAGTCTGAAGTACTTACATTTAATCCCTGGCATTCAGAGAGATTTAAGTCTTGCAAATTCTTACACGCACCTAAAAATAATAGTGGTAATAATAAAAAAGTCATATTAAAAGTGACTGGTTCAAATTCTCAGTGTACAACACAAACGTAAGAATTCATATTACAGGTTCAGTCCAGCTAGGCCAATACCCTCCCTTAAACCACGGCCACAGCAGATTACTGAGAAGAATGCACAAAAACCCTAAAAGCAGAATACAAAGTTGGAGAAAGCTGTCCTGAGGAAATGTCTGTTCTTGCACTCTATCAACTACTGGCTCACTCAGGAACCAAACTGTTTTCAGCCTTATATTACGAAAGGACCAGAAAGCTACCCTAATTAAGCAACATGGTGTTAGGAAATGCCAGAATTAAGTTTTCCATATAGGTTCATAAGGTGCAGCAATCAGACCAATTGCAGGAAAAGCCCTGCTTATCTTCTGCAAGTATGGAATTCCAGAGAATTTCACTGCCTGAGACAGTCTTTTCTCTGTGAGTATAATTATTATTTTTAGAAACTCTCATTTTGCAGAGATCGTTGCAATTCTAACAAGATAATGAAAGATAGATGTTTGACACTAGAAAAAACACTTACGCACCCCTTCAGCCACTCTTCTGCTAAATTTTGAGTCTATTCTCCAAGTAAAAGATGCAAAAAATCCTATTAAACATAGTAATACCTTTTGCCTTAATCTAATCTTCAGAAATAGCTGATCTGTCTAAACTGAAATGAACAAGATAGGCCTGATGTGGAAAATGCAGTATGAAAGGTTTATAGAGTAAAAAGAAATATGTTTAAAAAATATTTAAAAACATGTTTTAACATAGTAAGACAAATACACGTCTTCACCTGCAATAAGCATCAGTACAACGACAGATTTGTATGTTTTTTCTATGGGAACTATGACTGCACTGATATCCTGTAACAGTGTCTAACTCAGTGCCTTTTTGAGGAGTAGGACAATAGTGAGAGGGGTTGCACAACTCAAAAGAACCTAACCAATCAAAATCATCCTCAGGGATGCTACGCCACAGAAATGACATACCTCTTATACGTTTTTTGCCCTAGCACTAGATGAGACACGGTTACAATTTTACATGTGAACCTGTACATGCTACTAAAAGCAGGTGCTAATTTTGGTGTTATAGCTGAGTATAATTTAATTAGGAGGCAGAATACAATACTAGTAAAACAATCCAGTTCAGACTCAGGAGATGGAAAAGAAGAGGAAAGAATATTTCCATAATTATTTCTTTTCCTCCCCCAAGTTCCTTTCCTGTTTCCTAGCTCTCCTGGATAGACTGAGCTATCACATTACCAGAACAGCTAACAGTTCAAAACAATGCAGGGGATCCCAGTTATGACTCAAGTTATTAAAACACATGATCAACTCACACTGACTAGCATTTGGCTGCCAAAAAGTAACAAATAAAACATAATTTTTCCTGTAAGGGATAATGTTGTCAATGTAAACACTTATTCACACTGTGAACTAACAGAGTCTGACTGGATACATACAACGGGTAACTACAGGAACAAACTCGAGAAACCAATCAATATGTTTTCAAAGGTAATAAGAGGAACCAGTCACAGGGGTTAGAGGGATGAAACAGCAGGTGTAGACAAGACTGCTCCGTCTGTCTAATTAGAGTAAGAACTGCACAAATACCAAGAACACTCTACAGCTGAGATGTGGTTTAAGCTGATCTACAATTTGTTTAAAAATTAAAAATCTATTTGTTTTCAAAAGTATTTTATCTGGTATTAGTTTGGTTATTGTGCCATGTTTCCTCTAGGTAAGTTTTTTGAGCCCAAAACAAGAGTGTTTTAGAAACAGAACATCTGTGGAACGATCTGCACTCAAGATCAATACCTTCACAGGTGCTAAAGTCCACAATCATAGAGAAAAATTAACTAAGTAGTTATGCCGAACAGTGAAGAATTAGAAAAACATTTCAGAAGGGATGATACTGACTAGCAAAAGAAATCTGTGAATTTGAAAATAATTAGAAAATACAAAAAGCGGAGGGGTTAAAATGTTTCTAAGGAAACACAACTCTGTGGCCAAACTTCACTGAAGATGAAGGAAAAGGGCAATGCACAGGAGTACTATGGGAAATTCAGGAGGGAATACAGGCTGAAAAATTACTAAGACTACTGAGGCATTTTAGACATGATTGCAGGCAGCAGTCCTTGTCTTCCCCTAATAATAACTGCTCAAAACTGTGTTTGGCTTTCTTAGAAAGACAAATGCTCCTGGCTTACCCCTCTGTACTGTTCCTCCAAACTGGAACTGGTTTGAAGCAGGCCATGGCCATGACCTGCATGTTCTCTTTGCACTCTGCCTACACTCAGACGACATATAGCCTGATAGGCTCTTGCTTGTGATCCTTCTGAGAGCAGTCCAGCCAACCTTGTCTACCTGACCTGGGCCATGAGAAACACTCGGTAGAAGCAGGGCTAGTTATGATAAATTTGGGCTCAACCTGAAAACAAGTCCACGGTTGAGCACAGTCTGTAACTGAGGAGTCGATAGGTACTGGATGACTTTCAGTGGTCTGCCTCTGGATGTGTTCCAGTGGGTCAACACCCAGAAAGCTGGAAAATATCAGCTTCAAGGTCCTCTTTCAAGCTTATCTTCTAAGATGAGCTTAAATACAAAGAAGATTCAGCCTGATGCCATTTTCCTGAATACATGAGAACCTTTTAACAAAGATTGGTTAGAAACTGGCCCATATAATTTCCCATGTTTAATCAAAATGAATAACAGTAAACCAGAGACAGTGAAAACCAACCAAAAAAAGAGATAGGACATTGAATCTTCAAAGTATTTGTGAAGGCCCAAGTAGTGTGATGATTGAGTATTTGACTGAATACTGCATATTATGTTCAAGCCTCTACGAAAATGCCTGTTTCATCTGTTCTAATGTTTTACTTCTCTTCCAGCACAGGGATCCCACACACCCCAGCTGCATCTCCTCAGATCAGTACAACACTGATTAAGACTATCCAAAAATTTCAACTGTTACAGCTGTCACAGAAAATAGCTGGGGCCAGCTGAATGTCAGGATGCAAGTAGTTACTATTATACTACTACTACTTCTTTGTAAGGCATTTGACTGTAGGAAGACAAGGAATAGGAGTTTGAGAAACAATGAAAGGGAAAACATCTTAAGGAGAGCATCTAGCACTGTTAAGCGCAATGCCCAAGGCCTACCATGTGATATATACACTTATCTTCATGAGAAGTACCTAGATTGTCAGGAAAGAAAATTGATTTTTGTGGCACCTGATTGGCCAGAGGATTTAAAACACATGCTGCTAGCAAGAAACAGGATTCGTAAACTGAAGAATAATATGTTTTCCAAGTATAAAGCACTGAAAAGTCTGGATTTACAACAGAATGATATATCAAAAATTGAGAGCGAGGCTTTTTTTGGTTTGAATAAACTCACCACACTCTTACTTCAGCATAACCAAATAAAGAGTTTGTCTGAGGAGATTTTTATTTATACGCCCAGTCTAAACTACCTACGTCTTTACGATAATCCCTGGCATTGCGACTGTGAACTAGAAGCTCTTGTTACAATGCTACAGGTTCCAGCAAACAGGAATTTGGGAAATTATGCCAAGTGTGTGCATCCAATAGGACTGAAAAATCAAAAGCTAAAGCAGATAAAAGCTGAGCAGCTGTGTAGTGAAGAAACCAGGCAGGACCCCCAAAATATAAAACGGGAAAAGCCTGAAGCTGCCAAACCAGAATTTGATTCCTCTTCATGCCACATGTACGTGTTTCCTGTACCAACTCTGAACTGCAGAAGAAAAGGTTTGTATCTGTCATTATAACTGAAATAATGATTTTAATATTCTTTAATATTCTTTCTCCTTTACTACATTTATTCACATACTATTTACAGCAAATTGACACAGAACTAGTACTCTCCTTACTTACTTTAACTAATTCTGTTGCTTTTCTCTCGTAACTAAAATCAACAAGTAGGAGTTCTTTCTGCATTCTGCCTCTACTTTGCCACCCTGGTTCCACAAACGTTCTCTAGTGCTCTAGTGTAAGATATCCAACAAACATCACCAGGAATAAAATTAAGCACATACTTAAGTTACTGAAGGACCAGAATCTCACTAGTCTGATTTTACAACTATAAACATACTAATCAAATTACAGCTGTGCTGAAATTATTGTACTGGTAGAGAAAAGCAGAGTGTCTTTTCTTCTTTCCAATGTGCAAACAAAAAGATAGCAACAACTTTGACAGGAGCGAGCTGTGAAGCAGGACTACAGCAGCCAGCTGTGCTTACAATGCCAAAAGGAACCTGACTGCAGAGGAGAGCCATTGCATCCTTGCATTTTCTGTGCAAGATTTCTTCTACTAAGGGAAGAAATTGCAGACTTTTATTCATAAAGAAATAATGCCTCGGTGTGCTTCTTCCCAGCACCCAGCAAACATTTCAAAATTGAAGTGCCTTCAAGAAATGTTTTTCAAACACTTGGATGCATTCCATTCATAAATCCTTCTCAGGATCTTAAAAGCCAGTTAAGCCTTAAGGGTAGACCAGATGGGGCACAGCTCAACAGCAAAGTGCACATTTATTCATACTTTATATTTCCCATAGTTTATCCCATGATAAAACAAAGCAAACAACAAAATATTCAGAAAAGAGTCATTCTTTAACATTACAAATCTGAAATAAAAAGCATTACTAGAAGTAGCCAAAATTGGGAAGATTTTTCCCAAGTTCTGCAAAGCATAGCCTGCAACACAGGATCACTGCACTATGGTTTGCCCACTTGTATCTTGCATTGTGTTTGCTAAACTTATATTTGCTTAAACAGTGACTTCAATTTATGTAACTACTCTGTGTGCCTTTACTCTTGGACCTTAATGCCAGAGACAAGCTCAGAAGTCAGTATAAGGCAACAATACCTAAATACAAAGATATAATGATTTCAGTATTTGATTACATGGTTTATCTACTATGTATGTCATGAAAAATCGTCCACATTTTTACTTGCAC